GGCAGCCGGCTCAGAAGCCGGCACGTGACTTGGCCAAGGGACAAGGGACAGCGAGCAGCCAGTCTGGGGTTTGGGCTGGAAAACAAATGCTGTCGTCAACACATTCGCTGTGCATGTGTTAAAGCTGTCAGGTTGTGCATTTTGCGTTTTTAACAGATTGGAAGTGGCAACGTAAACTCTGGCTCAGCATCTCGTGGCTGTAGCGGTTTCCTACGTGCTGCTCATACCCATCAGGCTGGACTTACTGTGTCCCTGGACCACAGTGTGAAGAGCTCACTCAAGACCCAGATGAATCAAAGGTGTGAGCAACGCAAATACATGTTTCAAAACTGGGAAAAAATAAAGCTACGGCGTTTTTTAACTCAGTTTGGCCACGTCAGGTTAGAACAGCTTGAAGACAAAGTAACTTAGGCTTTAACTTCCCCGTGCCATATGGCAAGGATGTGTGCCTTTGATCTTTGAATGCTTCTGGGAGGGTCCAAGACAACAGGGGTGCTTCATTCCAGTGCTCTGCGGTTCCCAGCATGGAAATTGGCAGCGTCTGGTCAAGTTACTAGAGTGTTGGATAGAATATTGTATTAGAAAAAGTTAGTGTTGGGTAGAACATTGCATTAAAAGAAATTAATCAGATGTGGCCTTCCCTGTGCAACAGAAAACCAGAGCCCCTGTTTTCATAAATCTCGTTTGACTGAAACTTGATTTTCCTAAAGGCACAGGACACCACCACAAAACCGCAGGTTGGCATTTACTTACAAAGCTTTTATAACAGAATTTTCTAGGGTGGTTTGTTGGGTTTTTTTTTTCACTACCCAAAAGAAAACTGTTATTTGGAATTGATGATTATTTCTTCAGCTTACGGTTAACAGAGTTATGCACTTGGCACTGCGTAAAAGTAAATTATATGCCACGTCCCCTGTTGCTGCAGGCTTTGTTGCAGCATAGCAAAGTCTATGGGCACAGCTGGAAAAGTTTGGAGCATTGCTCATAGAGCTTGTTACAGCCATTTTAGGAATACGAAAATAGATGGATAGCTCTTTTTCCATGGCCTTCCACAATTTCTATCACCACATATCTCCCCACCATCATTTGCAGCTTATTTTTGGTTTTTTCCACTAGTAGCAGTACCTGTGACTTGACCATTTATTTGCCAGTACCAATGAACCTTTCTCACACAGCACTTCAAATATTACGAAAAACCTTGGCTATGTGGGATTTATAGCAGTGCAGAAAAACCCGTTCCTTAAAACCAGACATGTCTGGTCTCCTCTTCAGCAGCGCGTGCCTCTGGTGAAACCACGACGGTGTGTGCCCCTCTGCTTTGTCTGACATGAGTTAACTCACCTGATGTTACAGTACCAATACTGGGTATTCCCCACGTACCCGGCATGGATGAGCGCTACATTTTTAACTGGGTGCACGCTAGTGTGTACGGAAATGTTTTATTTTCCTGGGTCCCATTAGATTCATTTGAAAACTGCAGAATATCTAACTACATGCAAAATACCTGTCTTGCCTCCAAACTGCACTGTGAGCTGGTGCATTAGCGTCGCTGGTGTAGCTGTGATTGTGTGACATGGCACGTTCCCCTGCGGAATCCCCCATTGCAAGTCACAGCTTAAGTTCTCCAAGTCTTTTTTTTTTTTTCCCATCCAAATCAAACAGCCGCCATGGTTTCATGACTTTCTGTTGGAATTCTGATGCCAGATGTTGACTTCTCCTGCTCACGACGCACTGTAAAACCAAAGGCACCCAGTTAGCTATTCAACACTCTCCCGGTGTTTATCTCAACCCAGCCAGCAGTTCCTCGTGTATCTGAAATGCGGTGCCGCAGGCGCAGACATCTACTTGCTCTGCGTAGGGCAAGGTTTGCTCTTTTCACAACCAACGGCCCCCAGGGTATTAGCAGGGCACGGAGAGCTGTGTGTGTCTAAGCACCCCATCACAGTCTCACTCATATTTAGCTCTTCAGGCCAAGCCAGAGAAATTACGGTCCCTAACCATATCACCAAACGTATTAATTATGAAATATTGCCTCTCCGGCTTTAGGAGGTTGCCACAGGGGAAACTGTACAGGCAGAGGGAGTCAGAGGAACGAACCCGTACCACAGAGCGCCTATGCCAAAGGCTGGCAGGACAGAGAGGTGGAAGCTACGTCCAGCCAGACGTGATGTGACAGGGCTGCGCCATCACCGCAAGCTCCAGCATGGACTTCCCAGCCCTGCTCTGCTGCCGGACGAGCGAGGCAGTGCTGATGACAACAGCAGAAGCCTGCAGCTTTATAACAGGGCAGGCAAGTCTGCAGCTTTATAACAGGGCAGGCGAGCTGTGGGCGCGATGGGGAGCTACGTCAGTCTCCCAGGTTGGTTAGCTGTGACACCAAAACAGCCAGCAACACAGTCGTGACTGTAACAACACCGAATTCTGTTACACCATGATTTTGTTGTTGCTTTTCTTTTGTATCAGTGGCCATTTTGCACGTCTGAGGTGAACCCCTCTCTAATCACCAAACGCCTTCTAGCAGCAGAGCTGAACCTGATGTCGGGTTAACCTGCCCCCAGTGAGCTGCTCAAATCCTAGCGGGCTGCAGCTGGACTAGCCATCGGTGGCTCCTGCAGTGCCCATGGAGAGAAATAAGAGTTTTTCAGGA